AGGAATTCAAATAATTTTGTTACTGAAAATGTTTGTTGACTCATTTTTCATGTGAATTGGTTTACTCAGTCCCAGTCTCATTATTTATGTGAAATTGTATGGTGTATAAATTAGCTAACTGTCACAATTTAATTTAATATTGCAACTAGAGATTGGAAAATCTTTGTAACAACCCCCAATTTGGAACAATTTGTATTTTTCTTTTTGGTACAAAAAAAAAAATTGTATTTACTATTTAGTCCACCATACCCGACAATTTTAGAAAATTGGATCATATGTAACTTTTAAAAATTTATATAAGTTTTTATGTGAGAGACAGTCCAATCGTTATGTTTTCTAACAAAAGAAATACATAATTATACTATATAATATCGTAATTTTTTAATATTTTTTTTATACTATAGTTAGATATATATCGTTCAAAAACATACATAGTAACTATAAATTATGTAAAGTTAGCTAGATCTTGAGAACAGAAAAGGTAACTTTCCACATAAATATAAAAATAAAAATAACTAATTTTAGATCTAATTGTTCTGTATTATAAGCAAGGCTACACTTTAGAAGTATAGTAAGAAAAATCGTGTGCCGTACGATCTCGTCTCAATAAGGTAAAACAAAAATGCAGATTAGAGCAACAAAACTAGTATTCAGCTTATTAAAATATCCTGGGCATGTCAATATTACACCTGGAGAAGAGTTTCATCAGCTTTGCCATGTTTGTTTCCAAATTTGTAGCATCGAAAAAAAAAAATTGTTACAAACACTACTTTACTACAAACCACATTTGCTGCAGATTGTAACCGGTTCACAAAATAATGAATTTACCGTCAAAATGGGAAATGACAGATCACATTAGAACTAACGATCATCCAATAGAAAAAATGAATTCGAAACATTAATTATATAACGATAATGTATGAACAAAACACAGTATTATATGGCGAGCATACAGAATTGGAGGGCATTTTTTCCTTTATGCCACATTCTCATCTTCAGATTCTCCAATTGTATGTGATAAAAGTTGAAACTCTTCAAGGTATAGTAAATACTGAACCGAGTATCTATCATGTTTAACCGAGGCCTCTCACATATTGGTCGACGGTTTTATTAAATAGTTCGCATCTGCATGAACCAAGGCAGGAAGAAAATAAAATATTATCAATCCACCCATAAATCACAATTTTAAAATAATAATTTAGTTTATTTTGAGAAAATCACTCGCCTGATGGGAGATCCTGGTGAATATAGTGGATTCTTGACGACATACTCAACGTACAAGTTGTATATGTACTTGAGAGAGTCTCTCAGATCACCGGTCCTTGGATGAGTAACAAGGATTATCTGCAAGAGAAAAAAAAAATTGTTACAAAATCCTCACATACTTAACTACGTACTCCATGTTGAACAAGGCAACTTGAGAGAAGTTAGTAAACGAATGGTGAAAAAATCAAGAAGGAATTGGAAAATGGAAATAATGTGCACAAAAATGGGTGGGCACAAAACTGACCAAAGAATACATTTAATGCTCACAAATGTGAGAATATCTGAGATGCACCCATTTACACATTGTATTATTCGATTAGCGATTAAGCTGCTCGGTAGAAGCTAAAACCAAAGCCCTTAGAAGACTTTTAAATGAAAATTAGATAATAGCAAATATAAAAGAGAAAATTTCCAGCATCTCTAAGTTTGGTGCTTAGCAACAGTTAGAAGCATCTGAACCAGTTACTAACAGCGAGCTTTTTTTTCTTCCAAATATATACTTTTAGCTGATAACTAAAAGTCGAGTGCATTAGCAACATTCTGTTTGAAGCACAGTGAACGCAGCCACCCCTTTACCCAAATAAATACTTTATAGCTGAAAACAAACATGTACTAAAATGAAGAATTCTCTATCATCCGTCAGCGTCTTAGTTGGAATGAAAATGTTAATGTCCAAAAACACAAAGAAAAATGTTATAGCAGCCTTCACTCATCACGTCCTTACCTCAGATTTTCAAATACTTACAAAAGTCAATTTTCAAACAGAGAAAAGGAAGAAAGAAACTTGTATACTAATCTTTGTGTTGTCCTTCAGCTAACAATGAAAAAACATAAGTAAATACAATTCTTTCAGAAAGATTCTAAATTACAATGAAACACTAGTTAATATGACCAACAACAAAACTTTGAAAGTATATATCCTAAAAAACTGTTGATTACATCACTACAATATTACATATCCTCCAGTAATCGCCAAAGAGTCCTTTTTCCTAATGTTTTGTCCATCATTTGTGCCAAGCAAGTCTTGACATACATCATACTATGAGTTTCTGAGCTAAAAAGATTGGCTCACTTTATTTACAAAGGAACAATTTCGACTTAACTCCCTTTTTTTTCAACTTATAAACATCAGTTAAAAATAAGATGGAACATACATCAATCTACACCGGAAAGTTTAATTAACAACAAGATAGATTCAGCAAGACAGAAAAATGAATAATCTTGAACTTATGCAGTAAACAAGGGAGGAGGTTTAACTAAATAAAGCAAAATCCATCCACACTGACTTTTAAACTACAATTTCACCTGTAAAATAACCTCACCAGCATGGATGCCTCACATTAGCACAACCCTAAACTTAATAAAACCAGAATCAGTGAAGAAAGACTACGAAACAAGTACTTTCTCAACAATGACATCCAACTTTACCTGCCAAAACTGATCATTAATGGCTACACACTGCAAAACAAATTCAATTTTCTCAACTAACCAACCTTGATCCCAGATGGGCTCTCCATGAAGCTCAATTTGTATGTATTGGTTTGAAAACTGTGAAATGAACACCCTTGTCCAGGCAGCTGCGGCACCCCAAGATTCCCTTTTTCAGCACTGCTCATACAAAGAACATAACGATTGTAATTAGAGAGAGAGAGAGAGAGAGAGAGAGAGAGAGAGAGAGAGGGAGAGAGAGAGAGAGAGCGAGAGAGGGACAGAACATCGAGCACCTGGTGGGATCCATTTTAGCGGTCAAGGACTTGAGGGAGAAGAGGAGACCGAACATGAGCTTGTGATCTTGCTGCGAGCTTAGGGTTTTGAGGGGGCGATTCCATTCCCTGTATAGCAAGCAGACTCCATTTCTGTTGAAAATGTAGAGCATGTGGGCATTGTTCCCATATGCGGTGGGCGCCGGCGGGGATGGACTGATTTCTGTGCCTCCAAAGAATTGCATTTTTCCCCCAACTGATTTGATCGGAATTATTATCAGCGTTAAAGGTTTTCGAAAACTGGGAAAGCAGAGCGAGTGCTTTCACCACGGGGATCCGATCTTAAAATTTATAGTGCGGGCCGACGGCGGCGCACGGCCAACGGGCGGAGGTGTTTGGTCTTTGGTTGCTGCTCAGAAATTTTGGGAAGAGAGAGTGAGATGAAGCGACTGGAGATTATCGATTTGGAAGGAGATATGATGTTGGGCCTTAATAATTAATTTGGGGAGTGGGCTTTGAGTCGTTTGACTAGTTCATAGTAATAATAATAATAAACATATAAAAAATTCTCAAAAAAAAAAAAAAAAAAAATCTCAAAAAAAATTCCAATCGGATGGTTAACACGGACCGTAATAAATAGCATCACAGATTAAAAAATTCTCACAAAAAAATTATAATCAGTATTCATGGATCCATCGACCACAACTCCAAGTGTTCGGAAGTTGTTTATTTCCAGTTTATCTTTTGTATACTTTGTTGTTTTCAATATAGTATCGGCAACATGTTCAGGGGATCCTCTGTAAAAATCATCGTATCCAGAATTTTCTCGCGTCGTTTCCAGACCGTCTTGATGTTGCAATATCACTCGGGGCCATATATTCCTGAAAATTTATAAAGTATACCTCGAGGCCACATAATAAATCATCAAAATTAAAGAACAAACAAAAGAACGCACACCACTGTTGTAATAGATCACCATATAAAAAACACCATCAAAAAATTACTTTCAGGATTTCAGGATTTTTGATCGGAGGAGATTTTACGAACAACAAGTTTTCCTTTCCAATCCCGATCGGACCTTTTTTTTCTAGCTGGATGGATGATTTTTTTTTTCGAATTCAAAATTTCGATTAACCGACAATCCCGTATGAATTTTATAATTCGTGAATCCCTTAATCCTTGGTATCATATTTGGTATTTTTTTCATTTTCATTTTTCGTTTTGGTTGCAGGTCTTTTTTTTTTTTTTGGT